ACCCCCCAGGGTTCGTTCGCACCTACTCAATCGGGTGAGGTTTGCTTGCTGCACGAGAGTCACACACAACACCTGCCGTTAGGCCACACGCTCGACGGCGGGAGGGGCCGGAGGAATCAAAGGAGAATGCGGCGGCCTGGGTGGGCCTTCTGCGTGGAGGCTCTCCTGCTGCTGCTGGTGCTTCCCCGAGCAGCTGGAGGAACAGCCTTCTTCAGCCGGCGGCGATCTCTGCAAGTCCTGACTGACGGAGAGACGGTCTTGAATGGCGTGCTCAACCTCTTCACGGAGGAAGGGGTTGCGGCTTGCGAGGGGAGCTGCAAGGACGCCTTCGCCACTGCCTTCGGCATCGACGAGGTCTCTGTCGGCTGCGTGTGTCCCATTAGCACTTCCGCCAGCGACGCCGACCGGCGCAGAAATCTCATGGGCGACAACAGCAAGCAGCCTACCTCGGACAGCGCCGAACAGAACAAAGGCAGCAGCGACAGGCGAAGCTTGCGGGCGCAGCGGCGGCGGTGGCTAGCGGAGACCGACTCTAGCGAGCCGGTCGCTTTCTCCGCGCGCGTTGCGGGGGGGCTCGCTGGCGGGGCGGCGGCGTTGGACTTGCTCTCCGAGTCTGGGTGGAGTGCGGTGGCATCGGCCTTCGGGGTCGATGAGGATGAGGTATGTGCTGGTGTGGACAGAACACAGGCGGAGATATGTGCTGCTTGTGAAAGAAATATACCAAAAATAGAGAAGGCCGGGTATTCGTTTGAGGAAGCGGAGAGCATCGAAGAATTGAATTTTCTTTCTGAGAGAGAACGTCCCCTGGACGGAAATCGAGGCAAACAATGCTGGGCGCCATGATGCGTTGAGGGTCCTCACTGCGAAGCTGTCGCTGAACTACAGTAGTACTTCCCCATCATGGAGACAGAAATAAGTGTATGAAGCCTTGGCCTCCCCTGCTACACCAGCAGCGTTATCACCCTGCCACAGGAAAAATGTCCTCTCCCGACAGAATAAATTTCAAGGCACCAAAAAAAAATGTGCGTGCGGCTCCAAATTCCGGAGCCTGCCGCCAAAGGCAGGACCGAGTTAGAGCCGTCCGCCCGTGGGCATGAGACCAGGCGGTACGCCTGCTGTTGCACGCCTGCATACAGACCGCTCGACCTTTCAGTTAACCCTGAGTGTGTTCTGTTCGCTCTGCTGTGTTGCGAGGTGAATGAGAATTGGAACGTATTGACCTGGAGCACCGCATTTCTTTTCCCTCGCTCGCGGGTTAATTAGGAAAAGAGGAGTTTGTGGGCGCGACACCCCACCCGCCTGCGTGAACCACAAAAAACGCACGCGCAGGCACTTCGGAGAAGCTGCTTGGCAGTCCGTACGGAGTGATTCTTGTCAAGTGTCAAATTCCTTTGTCGGGGCCGTCCAATAAATGGGACACTGCTGCTCCATACCGTCCAACTTGCCGAATCATGTTTTTTTTTTTTCGGTGATCACATCGGCCGTCTCCGGCTCCGGCCGCCGGTGATTCCCGTGACCAAAATTTCCCGAGTAAAGTCTGTCGTCTCGGATGCAGAGCTCTCGTGACGCAGAATGCACCCCCCCTGCGGTGCGCTTCCTTGCCTTTTGGTCATGTTTAAGGTTGAGTTGCATGCGGGGTCAAATTTCTGCCCTGGCTGTCCGGCACATGGGTATATTTGATACAGTTACGGTTATACGGTTATAACGAACGGTACAGCAGTACTACACGCTAACGTCGATATCCCTTCCCGCGTAAGATTCCCGCTAATTTACATAGATATCCAGCTGCGCCTCGACGGAAAAATCAGCAGTACAACCATAGGACGCTTTGTGATACGTAGTCTCATGCGTACATCACGTGTCAAAATACATGAAGAACAGCAGGGAGGCAAAAAAGGGTCTTCGCCAGTTTTTAAGGGCCTCGAGTGCGCTGGAAAGCTGGCAACTGCGAAGTTTGTGTGAAGTTTTTTCAAGTTTCTCCTCCCGAACCTTGAGGAAAACCTGACCAAGTTGTCCCGCCCACAGGTGCGTACAGCAGCAGTATGCACACATGGATCGATTCTCGTGAGTTACTTGTACGTAGGCAGTGAGGGAGTGTGTCTGTCACACGGCAGATACGAACAGTTCACCGTCTTACAGCCCCAAGCCATGCCCTATGTAGCACCACCTCATTTACCAGCATGGTTGAAAAAGAAAAAAGGGAAAACAAGAATATCCGTACAAACCGGTGACTTGGTGAAAGCAAGACAACAAGCTGTCGTTTGTTCTGTCGTAGAGATGCGACCGATGGATAGCCCTTGTGTAAATACTTTGTACAAAGTGGAGAGGTGTAACCCTGTTTATATGCATGCCTCGTTTTTTGGGATTTTCTTTGTAGGTGTACTACTGCTGTATAGGAGTACACGGGTGGAGTACAACCACTGAGAGACTACCCGTTCGAGACACAATATATACCACCACGGCAGTCGCGTTGGAAGTTTTTGCAGCGAGTGGGGAAGAACATCCGCTTGATACTGGGCTTCATCACTCGCGTGGAAGACTTTAAGATTGGTTTCTTTGCCCGTGCACTGGGCACGGCCGAAGAGGAGGTGCTGCGTATGTACCCCCGTATGGAAGTGCGAGTTATCGCAGACTCCCCAGACCGACTTGTCCCAAAACAAGGTCGATTGATCGACTGACAAGAGGGTTCCTTAACCGACAGATGCGTGCAAGGAAACGTTTTTGATGTCCTGTCCTGTCATGTACCAACCCCTCCCGTTCGGCGTTGGCGACCTGGCTGCTGCACTCCAGGGTGGGGCGAGAATGCTGGGTAGCCCCATGCCATGTTTGGACGAGACATGCGCTAGAAACGCGCACGCATGAAAGGAAATTGATCAGACACACACACACACACACACACACACCTAAAACCTTGCTACATTCAAACATGCGCCCCCCCTTTGAGCATGTTTGCGGTACCGAGATAAGTTTTTTGCCCCCTGCAGCCGAACTTGCCAATGTGCCGTTTTCGGGTTGGCAGTCGTCGGAAGGGAACCACGTCCAGTTGCTACACTTGTAGGTTAACTGCATCCAGCAGGGTCTATCCGGCGGTGGGCTGGACGTACACGCTCGAAAACAGTACGCGTAGCCTGCGCAGGTTTTTCTTTGTAAGCAAACATACTGGAGAAAGTACGAATCGGCTAAGTTAGGGTACGGTTACGGTCTGCGTGCCCCCTCCTTTGATATTTGTTCGTTGTTACCTTACTTTGTCGAAAACGTCGTTCGAGCTTGTGGCTCGCTGCTGTGCAGGACGCACGTATGCATATGCTCTCGGCTTGTCTCATCTACAGTACCGGTAGTTGATTGGAATGTTTGGACTTGAGTGTATCCCCACGTACGTGCGTTATGCGAGGATTGTCGGTATCATCGTAGGTAATTCCCTCCGAAGAAAGAAATAACGAGCCCCCGGACTCAACAACTGTTGGTGTGCATCGATATCAACAAAGGGGAGCGGCAGCGTGATTTTCCCAACGCCCTCAAAACCGTCGTGCGCCCCCTCCCCCCCCCCGCCCCCCGTTGTCAACAATACCAGCTGGAAATCTCGACCCTCACGGTCACGCCTCCCGCCTCCACCAACTCCACCGAGACCCTTGAGGTCATCACGGACTATTTCGACGCCTCGGACATCTCGATCGTGTCGTCCTTGTCCACCACGGAGGGTACGGACTGGGCGGGCGGGGGACGTGGGGTGGCGCTATTTCTCGCGATGTTTGTGCTCCTCCTCATGACCTTCTGCTGCTGCGGCTTCTTGGCTGGGCTCCTCTTGTGGTGAGGCAGGAAAGGGGGAAGGGGGGGGGTTGTATACCTCAGCGGTTAGACCACGGACCACGCGTCCTCGAGAGGATGGATGGCCCATTGTTTCCACAGGACGTATCACCGATGGCCAATCGATCCTTTCTGGAAATGGGGGGGCGACCACAGGGGAGTTGGGGGGGAGGGTTCAAGAGCCTGGGCGCGGTTTTCAAGGGGGGGGAGGCGGGAGGGGACTACGAAAATGCCCCGGGGAGGGGGGGAGGAGGGTTGCATGACAGCGTGGTTATTTGGCGGGTTCCCGCGCTAAAGTTCCGGTTCGTGCCCATTTTCCCCATTTTGTGGCGGGAGGGTTGTTGCATCCTTGTTGTTCGCTCTCTGTCAGCCCTGACGCCTCGTTGTGCATGCCCGTCAAGAGTGACAAACACCGAGTGAGGTAGGTAGAGAGGGGGGGAAGACAAGAACAGGACGCGAGGCGTCCGTATGTAAACACGTTCGCCCCCCCACCCCCCCCCACCCCCACCCCCGATTGACGATGACGCTCGTCCGGCGGTGGTGGAACAACAACAATGGTTTGGAGTTTTTCTTGGCCAAATGGCTGCCGCGTGAGTTCGCTTGAGTACAACGTTTGCTGAAATCGGCTAGAAAACAACCCCCCCCCTCCTCCCTGTCACAGGAAGGCGAAAAAACACGGCGGCGGTGCCGTCGGCGGGGAGAAATTTTTCAAGTCACACCTGCCGGAGCGCAACTCGTTTAGGTGGGGGGGGCAGCCCACAGCTGATGGGAACCCGCGGCGTTCCGAACCTCACAGCAGCGAGGGAGCCTCCCCGAATGGCCCTCTGCTCGGGCTCGTGGACTCTCAAGATTCGTCGAATAGGTCCCCCAGCCGCGAAAACGTTCCTCACGAGGGCGATGAGGCCGCCGGGGGTGTTGTCGATCACGTGAGAGCCACTTCCGCCTCGTCGGCAGCAGTAGCCCCTGAATCGTCGTCAAAGAGCCGCGGGGTTTCCAGCGGCGATCTCGGGAAGGAGCTCGAGAGTCCAAGCGCCGCCGGGCGGGGGGGGGTTACCGAGCAGACGGCGGCGGCGGCGGCGGGGGCGCCCGCTGCTACGGCGGGGGGAAGGGATGAGGAAGGCGCTATCCCTCGGAACGTGTCGATGGAGGAGTCCGTTGGCACGAATCCTCTGTACAAGACCGCGGCGCCTTACCGCCGATCGACTAACGAGTCTCAGTCGGTGAGTTATTGTAGCTGGTCGCGGCGCGCGTTGCCTGCGTGCGCCACGAGCAAGCATATTGTGGCGTCTTCTTTTCATTGGTCGGCCGGCTAGCGCGAATGATGCTATTCGAAGAAGACACACGTGCGCAAGGGGTCCGACATGATGGCGCTTGGGAAGCGCGTTCCGTTGTTATCTGCACCGAGACGAAGGCGTTTTCATTGGTCAGCCCCTTTGGTGCGGTCGATGCTGTTTACAGAACCGCACGTACGCACGCACACACGTCTTGCTGTCGCCTTCCTGTCGTTGTTTTTTTGGTCTCCATGCATCTGTGATCTGTGATCTAAACGCGCGTCTTAGCTTTCTCCACTTGTGTGCGTTTTATTAGAACGGTGGCCGTGTGTGCTGTTGAGGGGTGAGAGTAGTTAATTTTTCAGAATGGACGTCGTTGTTGGCTCGAAGCGAGTGCTTCTGGCGAGACAGCTCTCTGCGCAAGCTTGCGACCGTGCACCTCTGTTTTGGTTGCGACTTATGCGTGTGTTAGATACCACGTTGCGAAGACTACCTGCGATGCTACTCTACAACCATTGTAAGTCACGGAACACCTCAACGGACAACGGCGGCAGTTCGCCGCCGCCGCAATAAATACGAACAGCGGGCAGACCAATCCAAACCCTGCGTACAACAACCGTCGTCTGTTTTACCTGCGCGACTGATTTTGTTCTCCCAAAGAAGCGCCGTTCTTCGCTCTCGGCCCCTCACTTTCCCTCCCTCCCTCCCTCCCTCTCTTTGGACAATCACCGATCCCAGGAACAAACACCGGGAAGGTCTCGCTTCTCCACCTTCTTGGGCAACGCCACCCCGTCCCGTCTCCGCCGTCTGGCCGGCCGAGTGGCCAAGAGCCCAGCCCTGTCCGCGAGCTCCCGCCGCTCGAAGCCCTCGACCGCTTCCAGGCACTCGCGCAGCGGCGGCTCGTCCACTCGCAGCCGCAGGCACCGGAGGCAGGGGTCATTCCCCGGGGCGTACAGCCAAAGGAACTCGTCGGAGCTGGACCACCAGCGGCCCCCGGCGGACCCTGTCTACACGTTCATGATCAAGGTGGGTATGGGGGGGGGGGGGGGGGGGGCGTACTCATTTGTTGCTTGCCGTAGTCATTTGACCATTGACCACGCGTCCCTTTCGAGACGGAGCACCGTTCCTACCCCTACTAGAGACACCACCAACATTTGGGAGCTCTTTACGTTTCTGCCACAAACTCCATACAAATTTCTTGCACATCTTATCCCCGTCCTCTAGGGCCTCTTGTGCCCACCATCTATCCCCAATTATCGCGATCGTTTTTTCGCTGTTGTCTAATTTACCAAACTTGTCCATGTCACACCCAATCTGTCTCATTTCCTCCTCGAGATCCTCTCTTTCCTTCCTGTACAACTCACACTCCCCAACTATGTGGGGTCTACTCTCCTCCGATTTGCCACATGGACATGTGTGTCTATCCTCCTCTTCCTCTCTCCTACGGCTGGTATACCTCTTCCTCCGTTCTGGCAAGTCCAGATCGCCTACTCGAAATTGCAATTTCAGCTTTTTCGCATAGTCCATGGGGCCGTCCAAGTACGTCTTCATCCCTATCCCTTC